AAGAGGAGTCTGTGTCACCTGGCGCTTGTTTGTCCTGGAGGAGGAAGCCACGCTGGACTGTGACGGCAACCACGCTCCTGCTCCCTCGGTTCCCACAGGGACCCTGGGAATGGTGGGGTGGGTGGCAGGCAGTCCTCTGTTTTGACTAGCGTGTGTCCCCACAATTCCGGCCCTCCCTGCCGGTAGTCTGGAGCTCTTCCGGGCCACTGGTGTCACTGTGCACCAGGCCAGGTGCCCTGAGTGCCCTGCCCTCCACCCTGCCTGACAACTCCGTCCTGCTGGAGACCTGCTGGGTTTGGACTGGGATGTTTGGAACGGAGGCCCAGGCTTTGGTACCCTCGGTTGCTTCGGGTCCCGCCTGAGGAAGTCCCCCAAGACTGTGGAAGAGATGGCATAAAAATCAGAAAGCTGGGAGAGCAGCTGAGAGAGTGGGCTGAAAGCGGGGAGGGTACGGACACACCAGTCAGGAGCTGCCGGGCCAAGGCTATAGGCTGTTGAGCACCTGCAAGGGATTTCTGGGGAAAGCCGCCGTCCTGACCTTCATCTCCATCCATGACTGCATGACCGGTCTGCCACCAAGACACTATCACCTTCAACCTCCTGATTCCGCTTATTAGGGTGCTCTCAGGTCCCTGTGTCTGGCCACGCCCTCCCCTCCCTGCACGGCTACTGTCGCCAAAGAAGAGAGCACAGTTCCCAGAAGACGATGACTTTCCCTACAATGAGTGCTAGGATAAAGTTTTAGGGGGTCCTTGCGTGGGGCACCTTGGCGGATTCCATGGCAGGCTAGGGTGACCGAGGCGGGGGTGCAGAGGACGACAAACACACCAGACAGACAGAGCTTGAGTGAGAAGTTAGAAAGGGGAGGGAGGGGGAAGGAAAGACAAAAGAGATAAAGAGACAGAGGACTGAAGAGAGGAGACAGGGAAAGTCCTGTCTGCCCCAGGGGAACAGCAGGAAGAGAGCTGGAAAAGAGCAGAGAGGGATGGGGAGGAGCTGGAAAGAGAGCAGAAGTGGGCGGAGTCTGTCTTCTAAAGGGGTCCTTTGCACCTGCTGCAAACTGCACTCATGGAACCCTGGGCTGACCAGAGGGCTGCCTGAGTGCATTCTGCCAGGTGACAGGGGCAGGTCAGTACGATGCCAGAATCCTTACAATGAGGTGTCAGAGCTGCTCCAGGACTGGGCTGGAAGGCACCAGCTCTGCCACCAGGGCCACAGCTGACTTCTGAGGTTAGGATACATCTGCTGTGGGCCCTCCATATTCTCTGATGGCGTGAAACACAGGCACGTGGACATTCGGGAGCGCACGCGCACGCACACACACACACACACACACACAAGCTTTGGAATTCTGTGTATCTGACATTCTTGGACCTCCCCCTTGGAGCCCCATTCCCTAAGGTATTTAGTAAAGAAAGCCGAAATGTCCCTGAAGACCACTTATTGATTCTGTCACACACGTTTGTTTGTGTATTCTCTGTGGGTTTGCTGTCCTATCTCCAAGTGTTAAAATACATTGCAACCGTTAAACAACTTTCTTTGCATGATTTACTTTGGATGTGATCATTTGATCATTCTTACATGCATGAAACAGATTTGGGTGACTGCCCAGGCAGCCAGCTGTTTTTGTCATATCTCACATTTTTTCGAAGTTGCTTGACCCCATTTCCTATTTACTCAGTTAGTATTATTTCCTTCTAGCGTCTCTGAGGGAGTTGAAGACTAGATAGTTAGGGTTAGAGTTTTCATGATTTACCAGACTCAGAAAAGAAACTCACTAAAGACATGTAAAGTGTAAAAGGTTGAGAGACATTAAAGATAATTTGATGATGCGAATTAGAATAGAAAGTAAATTAGGTACAAGACTTTGGACTCACCAAGGCAGGATAGATAATGACGTATTTTCTCTGAACTGTCAAATGCAAATGGACTAGACATTGTTGATGAACTTGTTGCCTGTATATATTGTATAAACTTATTGTGTATAGTTTTTCTTATGGTAGTTATAGCCTTCTTTTGTATTAGACAAAAGGGGGAATTGTAGTGATATGTTATTTATGATTTATTAAAGCTTGATTGAGGATTCAGAAAAGGAAAGTCAGCCACAAGTCACAGAAACCAGGGACACACCTTTAATCCCAGCAGTCAGAAGCTAGGAGGTGGTGGTACACACCTTTAATGCTAGGACTCAGGATTAAGAGACAGACGGATCTGTGTGAGTTCAAGACCACCTAGAGCTATAGAAGAGTGAATCAGTCTAAAAGAGAATTATAGCTCACACCTTTAATCCCAACATGAGGGAAGTATGTAAGACAGAAGCAAGGTCTCAGAGAGGCATTTGTTCTCCAGCCACACTGAGGAGAGGCAGCAGTTAGAGACTTCGTGAAGTGCTTGTGTGTGGATCAGCCCTTTCAGCCTGAGCTAGCGGTGAGAGCTAGTGGCCGGCTGCTTTGCTCTTCTGATATTCAGCTTGAAGTTTTAACCCCAATATCAGTCTCTGGGTCATTTATTTATTCGTGTTACAAAGATTGAACCAATGGCTTTCTCTGGGTCATTAATTATTTTGTGTTACAACAGGGTTTCTCTGTGTAGCCTTGGCTGTCCTGAAACTCCCATAAACCAAGCTGGCCTCAAACTCACAGGGATCCGCCTGCCTCTGCCTCCTGAATGCTGGGATCAAAGGTGTGAGCCACCACCGCCTGGCCAGATTTATTTTTTAATGAGCTGTGTACACATTGATTCGAGTTTCAAACTCAAACACTACTTTTAAAAAATATCTTTTAGGGCTGGAGAGATGTATCAGAGGTTAAGAGCACTGACTGCTCTTCCAGAGGTCCTGAGTTCAATTCCCAGCAACCACGTGGTGGCTCACAACCATCTGTAATGAGATCCGGTGCCCACTTCTGACCTGCAGGGACACATGCAGACAGAACACCGTATACAAAACAAATAAATAATTTTAAAAATCTTTCATTTTTATTTATGTGTATAAGTGCGTGCGTGCGTGCGTGCGTGCGTGTGTGTGTGTGTGTGTGTGTGTGTGTGTGTGTGTGTGTGTGTGTGTACATGTGTTCAGATACCTGCAGAGGCCAGAAGGGGCATCAGGTCCCCAGGCAGTCATGATTTGATTGATGTGGGCACTGGGACCTAACCCTGGGTCCTCTGCAAGAACAATACAGTGTCCTTAGCTGCCAGGTCAGCCCTCCAGCCCCTGACTCTGCGTTTTGGTCAGAGCATAATTTAATGTCTTCTCTAAGAATCTCAGTTTTTTTCATCTAAAAAACATTATTATAATTCCACAGCAGACATTCCAAACAGTGTGGCCTGCTGCTGCTATTGGTGCTGTTGGTTGTATCCAGACTTGATGAGGTAGGCGGTACTGCTGACCACATCACATGCTTTGACAGAGGACGTGGAGAAAAGAAGTTGGTACTGCCCAGGAAGCTTGTTCCATGTTGGCTAGCTTCATAGTACTGAAAGGTTCAGTGTAGGCTATTGGGGAGAAATGTTACAAACAATCTGGCAAATCTGTGAACCCTGTTAGCTATGATGACGACCAGCATGACAAGATATACCCATGGGTGAAATAATGGCATGACTATCGTGGTGGAAACCAACTCTCTTCTGATTGGATTTAAGGTTTGTCCACAGGAGGAAACTTACTCCTGTCAAAAAGCCCAGCACTGGAGAGTCCACGGGCCCCAGGGGTAAACGTGATAATTCTGTTCTGCTAAATGGATGTAACAGTCAATTACCCTTTAAGACAGCAGGTCTCAACCTGTGGGTCACGACTGCTTTGGGACTTGAACAACCATCTCACAGAGCTCCACCACCCCGTGGGCCTCTAAGTTCAAGGCCAGCCTGGTCTACAGAGTGAGTTCCAGGACAGCCAGCACTACATAGAGAAACCCTGTCTGGAAAAACAACAACAACAACAAAACCCCAAAAGAGAGGTAAACTAATTGGGGGTGGAGAGGCAGGGAGTGGATCTGGGAAGACTTGGGGGGTACTTGGGGTAAAATACCATTATAACATTTTTTATGAAATCTCAAAGAATTAATAAGCTATTATAATTAAAGTAATAATTCCATAGTAAAGGAGTTAGAGACACTGCAGTACTTATACGAAGCTTCCAGATGGGTGCTTAATGATATTGGTAGATGCACATGAATATGCAAATGAACACGCAAATGACCGTATTTCCCTGTAATCTTTGCTTCTTCTGCCAGCTCCGCCTCCCAGACCGCAAGGGCAGCTTCTAAGCAAGCAGGGAGCCACGCCCTAGCCCTTATCCAGGATGTTGAACTGTTGACCTCTCGCTGGTATCTTGAAGGAAAGAAAGAAGGGGTTTGGCGAGGGGGGAGGCAACTGTCGAACTCAGTCTCCTTTTCTCCCAGATTTCTCCAGTTCTCCGACCTCAAACGACACCCAAAGGAGAGGGCACGCAGGTTTCTCTGTGGCTCGGAGCGAACACCGCCACGCTGTACTCTCACTTCGATAGTGACCCTGGGCAGGTCTGGACGGACGGCTCTCCATGACTCTGCAGTTGTTTTTCCTTGAAAAGGCGGGCGAGCCACAGTCAGTTTGAGGTGACCTTGGCTTTTCAAAACCATGTTGACACAGAGCCTCCTTGACAGGTGGACATGGAAGTGTTCCACAAAAGGGTGCCTAGATCTTCACCGTGCGCTGCCTGCGACTTAGTCTAGAAAGTTCCTCTTTTGAGCTTTCTCTCCTTCCGTTTTGACTTGTCACCAGACGGTCTTCCCAGAAGGCATCAAAGTGATAAAAATGGCCTTCTGAACCCATGCTTTTGCCTGCTTTGTTTTATTTTATTTTCTCTACCTCCCCTGCCCCAATTGTTGTTGGTTTTTATGCTTTGCTTGGTTAGGTTTTCGTTGTTTTTTTTTTTTTAGACATGGTTTCTCAGTGTTGGTTTGAAGGCTGTCCTGGAACTCACTCTGTAGACCAGGCTGGCCTCAGACTCAGAGATTCGCCTGCTTCTGCCTCCCGAGTGCTGGGATTAAAGGCATGCGCCACCACTGCCCATCTGTTTGGTTGGTTTTTGTCTTAGGTTTCTGAGACAGGAGTTCTCGTAATTGCTCTGGCTACCTGGAACTTGCTCTATAGGCCAGACTGGTTTTGAATTCAGAGACCTACCTGTCTCGGCCTCCCAGGGGTTGGGATTGGGGTGAGGATCACGTCGCCCTGTTTGCCCGTTCTAATTTCTTTGTCACTTGCTGTAACACAGACTGCAGGGTCACGGTCCCATAGCCGCACTCTGCTGCAGGCTGGTGAAACAGCCCAGGAGAAATGGTTTGTGTTATCATGGACTTTTGTTGTTCCTGTTCTGAAACTTTATTATCCAGGCACCCCAGGCAGTGTCTACCATAAGTAGGGGCTGAATGGATCCTTAGAGAATGACTGAAGACCTTTCTGGTTTTTTTTTTAAAGATCTGTTTGTTTGGTTTTTTTTTACATATATGTTTATGGGCAGGGCGTATGGAGGGCAGAAGAGGGCGTGGGACCCTTTGGAACTGGAGTTACCGACAGTTGTGGGCTGCCACATGGGTGCTGGGAGTTGGACCCCAGTCCTCTGGAAGACCAGCCAGTGCTCTGAATCCTTGTGCCATCCCTCCAACCCTCAAATGAAGATGTTTGTCACAAGCGAGTCTGCCTCCCACCAAGCCACTGGCCAGCCATGTTCCTAAGCAGAGAAACTTGGGGACTGGGAGAGATGGGTCAACGGGTAAAGGGCTGGCCAGACTTGAGTCTGATACCGGGGACCCCATGGTAGAAAGAAAGAACTGATTTCCACAAGCACGAGTAAGTAATGAAATGGGGTGCTTTGCGGGGTTTTGTTTGCTTTTTGAAGAGAGTCTCTCTACACCCCTGCACTTCCTGGAACTCACTAAGTAGACCAGGCTGGCCTTGAACTCACAAAGATCTGCCAGCCTCCGCCTTCCCAGTGCTGGGAGTAAAGATGTATATCACCACACCTAGTTTTCTCTTTGAGCAATTTGGGAGCTAGCATGGGTCTCACACCTGTAATGTCAGCTTTCAGGAATTGGAAACAGAAAATGAAGTCCCAGGCCAGATTGAGCAGGACTCTAACTCAAATTAAACTGGAGCAATTTAGACTCAGCTATGGCCCAGCCACCTGGGAACATTCTCCAAACAAGGAAAGGGGAGAGCCTCTCCTCAGCATTGGGATTTTTCTCTCTACACCTCAGGCTGCTCTGCACCTCAGACAGGGATCTGCCACAGGACTCAGCCAGGACCAGAGCCTGTGCCCTGAAGCTGCCCTGTTCCCAGCTTCCTGTGGGAAGAAGGCTCATGACTCACCTTGCCCCAGGTAATCTTGGTCCTCGTCATTTTCTCTTTCGCTGCTGTAGAGTCTCACCTGCTCTAGCCCCGCCCTGCTCTGGGCTTCCCCAGTCTGGGCTCCCTTGGTGGCTGGTGTCAATCTCCAGCCTTGTTTTCACTTTTCCTACATCAGCTGGGGCTGCCCACGAGGCCAGGTTAAAAGCATGGAGTTGGGACCGCAGTGCACACTCTGCAGCTGCAGCATCCCAGCCGGGACACAGCCACAGACTGAGAGCCACACGGGAAGACCCAGGCCAGAGACAGGGAGCAAGACCCAGGAAGCCAGGGACAGCCTCCAGGGCACGACCGAATGCCCAGCTCCTCACAGACCCCAGAGAGCAGCATGAAGCCAGGTGAGTCCCCAGACTGGTGCGTGGGGTCGTGTCTGCACAGGCCCCATCCTCCAGCCCTCACTCTGTGCTTCTGTCCTCCTGAAACAGCTGGGGGCCGCCTGCTCCTCCTGCTGCTGCTGCTGCTGCTGCTGGCCGCGGTGCTGACGGGAGCCCGCGCTCATCCTGTGCCCAGGGCCACCAGGCTCCCACCAGATGCAAAGGATTGTCACATAGCCCGGTTCAAGTCTCTGCCCCCGCAAGAGCTGCAGGCCTTCAAGAAGGCCAAGGATGCCATAGTGAGTCTCCCTCTGCCCTCCTGTGTGGGCTAGCCTCCACCTCTCCCTTTCTGGGTGTAACCCCTTATGTTAGCCTGTATGAAAGTGCTCTCCACTCTTGCCCAGTGGGCTGACTTAAACTCTTGCTATAGTGGGCTAACCTCAGCCTTTCCTGCAGTGGGCTGACTGCCACCCCTGCTGCAGTGGGCTAACTTCCACCATCCTCTCAGTGAGCTAACCTCAGACTCTCCCACACTAGGATGACCTCCACCCTCCCCAACCTGGTCTATCTCTTGCTCTTAGTGCAGGGGCTACCTAGTATCTGCTACCATGGGGGAGCCTCTGTCTTTCTAGCAGTGACCTTCCCTTTTCCACCCCAGCCCCTCTGCAGTGGTCTAGCCTTCACCCTCCTGTATGGGCTAACCTGTGTCTTTGCCCTCCAGGAAGAGTGGCTGCTCAAGAAGGACGTCAGGTGCAGCTCCCGCCTCTTCCCCAGGGCCTGGGACCTGAAGCAGCTGCAGGTGAGCAGGGTCTTCACACAGCCTGCTCTGGGGGGCAGGGGGTGCCCACCGCGGAGCTGCTGGGGCCTGCACCCTCCCTTTCTCGTCCTCACAAGCCGTCCGTGACAGGTGCTCAACCTGACCACACTGGCTGTGGCCCCTCATCTGTCACCTGCCCCGACCTCTCCCTGTCCCCTTGCCCTGTCCTCTGTCCTGTCCCCTTGCCCTGTCCTCTGTCCTGTCCCCTTGCCCTGTCTCCCTCGACTCCCCCACCCCAGGTCCCTCACATGCTGTCTCTGTCTCCTTGCTCAGGTCCAGGAGCGCCCCGAGGCCTTGCAGGCTGAGCTGACCCTCACACTGAAGGTCCTGGAGAACGTGACTGACCCGGGCCTGGGCCCCATCCTGGACCAGCCTCTTCTCACCCTGAGCCACATCCACTCACAGCTGCAGGCCTGTGTGAGTCCTGGGTCCCTGCTCCTCCACACTGTGCTCCAGACACTGGGGACCCCGCATGTGGCAGCGGTAGGCTCACAGTCCCCTCCTCTGTCCACAGACTCAGCCTCAGCCTGCAGCAGAGCCCAGGCCCCCCAGCCGCCGCCTCTCCCGCTGGCTGCACAGGCTCCAGGAGGCCCAGGAGAAGGTGAGTCTGGGGAGGGCTTGGGGTCCGCAGAGCCTGGGAGCCCTGAGCCCCGGCAGCCCCTGAGCCAGCTCTGTCCTCCCAGGAGACCCCCGGCTGCCTGGAAGTCTCTGTCACTTCCAACCTCTTCCGCCTGCTCATCCGGGACCTGAAGTGTGTGGCCAGTGGAGACCAGTGTGACTGACCTTGGACTCTCCCGCCAGCTGCAGGAGTTCTGCAGTGTGTGGACTCACCAAGCCCCTGCCTTAATTTATAGCCACTCAGGGCTTTTAAAAATATTTATTTGTGTGTGGAGTCTTCAGACTCAGACCCCACAGAATGTCTATTTTTCTACTTTTGTAAACTTTCTACAAATACAGAGTGAGAAAAGACCTTTGTGGTGTGTTGTGTGTGTTTTGGTGTCGAGTCTTTCTTTCGCTGTCATGGCAAAGGACCACAACTTCAGCTCTACAGAGCTGGGCTATCCTGGGCTACTGCTTTCTGCCTCTGGGTGAGGAGTCAATGTGTCTGTCGGGCTCTTCCTGGGTTGTTCTGAGAAAGTCTCCTCTCTGTGGTTCCTGGTGTTGGCAGCAGGCTTCTCTGTACTCTCCTTTGGTTTGCCTTGGGAGACAGGGCTTCTGGTAGCCCAGGCTAGCCTCAGTTTGCTATGTTCCTTTCTCTCCCATTCCCCCTCTGGAATGCTGGGATTGCACGAGGTCACCACCGTGCCAGGCCCTAACAATAGCCACTCTTGCTTTACCAAAGATGCCCTGGCGGATAAAGCCACCTGCACTCTGTCATCTTCTCTTCTGGAACCTTCTCCAAGACAACGTGTGCCGCTCAGAGGGGTGACTCAGCATTCCATTCCCAAAGACAATGGTTCACGATGACACACAGCCTCCTGTAGCTCAGGCTGCCCTCAAACTTACTGTGTGGCTGGGTGACAGGGGTGTGCCACCAAGTCCAGATTTATGCAGTGCTGGGATTGTACCCACAGCTTCATGCACATATGCACATGTATGCAGGTACACATGCCTGTGTGTGTGTTCACACTGGCTCATATGCACATGTATGCAGGTACACATGCACACGTGTGTTTGTGTGTGCTCACTCTGGCGCATATGCACATGTATGCAGGTACACATGTGTGTGTGTGTGTGTGTCCATGTCGAGGATGTAAGTGGCCATCGGGTGTCTCCCTCCACCACTCTCCACTTTGATTCTTGAGGTGGGGTCTCTCACTGAAGCAGAGCTCACTGTTTCAGACAGACAGCTTGCCCTGGGGAACCCCTGTCTCCACCTTTGAGTGCTAGGGTCACAGGAGGGTCACAGGAGGGTCACATGAGAGTCACAGGAGGGTCACGGGAGGGTCACGGGAGGGTCACGGGAGGGTCAAAGGAGGGTCATCACGTCCACACAGCGTCTACAGGTGTTCTGGGGATCCAAAGCTCAGTCCTCACACTGCAGTGACAGATACTGTATCCACTGAGCGTCTCCCTGATGCTTGCAATTTTGATTCTAAGATGTTTCTTTCTGGCGAGGGACTTTCCAGGCTGACCAGATGGCTCTGTGGCACTTGCTACTTAGTCTGCCTGATGACCTGAGTTTGGTCCTTAAACTGAATGACGGAAGGAGAAAATTGGCTCCTGAAAGTGATCTCCGGCTTTTGTGTGTCCTTTCCTTCACACCATACACACACATGCACATACACACACGCATGCACACACACGTATGCACACACATGTATGCACATACACGCATGGGCACACACATGCGCATGCACACACATACACACACACACACACACACACACACACTGACTTGAGGCTGAGAATTAAAGGTGCTTGACCTCCAAGCCTGATGATATGAATTTAATCCTGGAGGTCCATGTGGTGGGAGGAGAGGTCTGACTCTCTGGTCCCCTGAATCAAGTATGCATAACCATTGTCACACGGAGACCCCAGTAGAGCCTCTCAGAGCCTCCTCATCCTCCCCAGTGCCATTGCGGGCACACAAGGCAAAGGAACCCTGTCTTCATCAGGTGCAGAGATCAAAACATTTTCCCTGTGACACGCTAATTCCCAGCTTCCTTCTGTGCGCACTGAGAAACGTCCCCGAGGCAGTTGTTATAACTGCAGTAACTGGGAAGCAGAAGGGGGCTGGAGCTGTCTGTCAGGAGGCAGTGTGGTGTGAGACAGGCTTCGAGGGCGCCCGGGGACAGGCAGAGTGGCTGCTGCGTTCCGTGGGCCACCTCGTGGCAGGTGTGCGGAGTCTGAGCAGCGGCATCCAGGTGTCCCTCTCCTGAACACTGGGAGCGGGTTACTCTGTGTGTCACAACGACGCCGAGGTGTGACCCAGGGTGTGGGTGCTGCTTATGGGTCCTCACAGTAAACACAGAACCTCAGAGGTTAGCCATAGGTGAGAGCCTGGGAGCCGGGCAGAGAGGAGGCAGAGATCAGAGCCGTGGAAGAGCCTCTGAGGTAGAGGAGCCCTGGGCTGGTCCCCACCCACAGCCGCAGCTGGCCTTCTTCATGTGGAGCCTGGTTGTAAGTGCAGGCTGTTCTTGGTTTTGTTTAACTTTAAACACTCGATTTTTCTATCTATATGTGTGCGCACGCATGTGTGTCTACTGGGGCTGGAGTTAAGGTGACTGTAAGCCTTATTATGTGGGTGCTGGGAATTGAACTCAGGACCTGTGGAAGAGCAGCCAGTGCTCTTAACCATGGAGCCATCTCTCCAGCCCCTCTTCAATGTTTCTTTTCTTTTTTCTTTTTGGTTTTTCGAGAATGTTTTTCCCTGTATTGTTTTGGAGGCTGTCCTGGAATTTGTGCTATAGACCGGGCTGGCCTCGAACTCACAAAGATCCGCCTGCCTCTGCTTCCCGAGTGCCGGGATTAAAGGTGTGCGCCACCAACGCCCGGCTTCAATCTTTTTTTCTTTGTGAAAAATACGCACATTACCACCATATCCATCGGACTTTTTCACATGTATTTCTTATTTGGGGCGCATGTACTTACCATGGGGATTTGAGAAAGCTTTGTGGAGTCTGTTTCTCTCCCACCATGTGGATCTCTGGGATGGAGCGTGGTTGGCTGCAAGTGCCTTTCCTTGCTGAGCTGCCTCACTGGCCCCGCCGTGCTCATGATGAAGCGTGCAGTTTGGTGATCTCAAACACACTCACGTTGTCCTGCAATGGGTTCCCAGAAGTCTTTGCGTCTTCCCGGGTGAGGCGGTTCACCCCTATAATCTTAGGAAGCTGAGGCAAGGGGATGAGGAGTTTGAGGCCAGCCCGGGTTACCTGGCTATTCCCTATCTCTAAAGACAAAAGAGCTCAGCGTTCTGAGCAGCCGCTGCTGCTCTCGCATGGGACCTGGGTTTATTTAGTTCCAGCACCGCCACAGGTCCTCAAAGGTCTGCAGCTCCAATTCTGTGCCAGAGGATCCGATGCCCCCTTCCGGCCTCCACCTGCACGATGCAGTCATGCACACAGAGTAAAAACAAACCAATCCTTTAAAAAGAAAACAAAACAGAATAGCAAGTCTTTCCATCATGCATCGAACTCTGCTCCCATTTAGACACCAAATTCCCTTCTTCCTCCTGGCGGCTGTCGCTTTCGCTTTGTCTCTGGGAAGCTGGCCTCTTTGGGAGCATCCTAAGCTGGTCCTCTTATGCCTGGCTTGTCTCGCTTATCATGATGTCTGCAAACTTCATCTCTGATGGAGCATACACATGTCAGAGCACTCTTTCTTTCGAAGACTGCATTACATTTTGCTGATTCAGTCTTATTACTTGGAAGTCTAAGGGGTTTTTTATTGATTATATATTATTAGTATTAGTATTGTTGGTTTTTTGAGTCAGGGTTTCTCTGTGTAGCCCTGGCTGTCCTGGTAATCAGTATGTAGACCAGGCTGGCCTGGAACTCAGAGATCTGCCCACTCTGCCTCCTGAGTGCTTAGATTAAAGGCGTGTGTCTGGCCGGGAAGTCTGAGTTTTAAACCACTAAGTCTCGAAACTCACACTAGCAGATTTTAAAGCCTACTTAGAATGAATGGAAATATGGGTGGGTTTTCTGCCTTCTATGAGTGGGGGTGGTAGGTCAGAAGTCCTGTCCTAGGCGTGGGTGTGGGAATGGGGTGGGGTCACACACACTGTCCCCTTTTGCTGAGCACATGCTGGCTTTTAAGCATGTCTGGCTTCCAAACCCTGGGGTCATGGAGCTAGTGGGGGCAACAGCATGGTATTTCTCGACGGTCTTCTCCGTCTAGGCAACCTTTATTTGAGTACCCTACTCTCAGGAAACATTTCGCGGGTGTCTAACCAGCCGCCTCCATTATTGGCAGGAGGTGGGAAGCTAAGTCCTAACACTCTCTTCCATGCCGGCACTCATGTCCTCCTTCTTGGCTCCCGGCAAGGTGAGGTTTGTATCAAGTTTCCCTTTCCCTGAAGTCACCAGGCCCTGTCAGGTTCCGGCCTCCCCGAGCCTGAGGCTCCCCCTGGCGGCGGGTACAGACCTCACGCCACTTTTCTCCACTCAGCTCTGCAGCCCCGCCTGGCTAATCTGGCAGGATGGATGGATGGATGGAGCCCAGACCAGGCTGAGATTCCAGATAGGGCTGAGGGGTCCCATACTTTGAAGATGAAGATGGGTGTGAGGTCAGAGATTCCCAATGGGGGCCCCTAGACCACCCAGACAGACAGGCACCCTGGGGAAGAGGGTCGGAAGCCAGGAATAGGTAGGGCGAGCCGAGAGTGAGTTGCAGGGAGGCAGTAGTTTGCAGCTAACAACATCCTTCCTGTGGGGGGTAACCTGCTCCGCTCCTGCACGGGCTAACCTTCACCCTCCTGTAGGGACCAACCTGTGACCTTGCCTTCCAGCAAGAGTGGCTGCCGTCGGGGGCAGTTTTTACCTCTTCTCCCGTGCCTGGGGTCCGGGGGCAGCTGCGGGTGAGTTGGAGTCAGTACCAGCCTGCCCTCTGCTGGCCCCCTCATCTGCTCCTCTTTGGTTCCTCCATCTTCTTCCGGTTTCTCGTTTCTACTCCGGTCCTCGCATTCTCCGCTGTGCCCTCTCCTCTTCCTAGCCTGTCCCTGGATGTTTTCCTTCCGTCTTTTCTCCCAACAGCTCTTCCCACCTGAACTCTTGAGTATGTCTCATGCCCCGTGGCATTGCAGGATGAGATAAACCGGACAGTGAGGGTCCTGGAGAGTGAGGGGTTGACTCGGTCATGGGCGATGTACTCACTACTTTCACATCCGTGTGACCACTCTTCCGGAGAGACGACTTAAAGGACCAAGGCTTTGTTTTCATCCATGGATCCAGAGGTTTTAAGCTGCGTACGCTTATCAGATCAGCTCCTTTCGGGGCAGTGGCAGTATGTGGTCCAGGCTGTTCACA